GTATGGAATTTTCTCTATGTAGAGGTCAGGTCATTGTATGGAATTCTCTGTATGTAGAGGTCAGGTCATTGTATGGAATTCTCTGTATGTAGAGGTCAGGTCATTGTATGGAATTCTCTGTATGTAGAGGTCAGGTCATTGTATGGAATTCTCTCTACGTGTAGGTCAGGTCATTGTATGGAATTCTCTCTATGTAGAGGTCAGGTCATTGTATGGAATTCTCTGTATGTAGAGGTCAGGTCATTGTATGGAATTCTCTCTATGTAGAAGTCATGTCATTGTATGGAATTCTCTGTATGTAGAAGTCATGTCATTGTATGGAATTCTCTGTATGTAGAGGTCAGGACATTGTATGGAATTCTCTTCATATACAGGTCAGTTCATTGTATGGAAATCTGTCTATGTATATCATTCCCGTTTAGTTACAATCTCTCTAACGCTTTACTTAACCTCTTTGTAGTACTTTACTTAACCTCTCTAGAGCTTTACAAAACCTCTCTAGCGCTTTACCTAACCTCTCTAGCGCTTTACTAAACCTGTCTAGCGTTTTACTTAACCTCTCTAGCGCTTTACAAAACCTCTCTAGCGCTTTACTTAACCTCTCTAGCGCTTTACTTAACCTCTCTAGCGCTTTACTTAACCTCTTTAGCCATTCACTTAACCTCTCTAGCCATTCACTTAACCTCTCTAGCCATTCACTTAATCTATCCATCCCTCCTTTTTCTTCCTCATGCCTCATGTTACGACCGTAAGATGTAAAGGTCATCACACCATTACGTACATTGGTACGCTCTCCGAATAATCAGTATTGCTATATTTAACTGTCAAGCTTCCAAGTCAAGCGCTCGAGAAAATATGTGGAGAAATCGAGATAACGAAGATCGAAAATAGTAGTGTCCATATTCAAAATGTATATTGTATCCTCGTATGGAAAGATGGATGGGTGGATAAAACTTGCACTGTATACTTATACAAAGCACTGAAGAAGTATATGTTAGTAATTTTATATGTCAAATTATATGTAGTTTGGGGGCCTTTTTGATAATAGGTTATATCCTTAATTTCTATCCACATAAAGTAAAGCTGGTATCATTATTAATATTACTTTACACGCATGCGAACATGTGTTGTGTACATATAGTATAGATCCCGTACTATAAATGTTACCAGTCGACTCCTTTATACAAGTTTATTTTAATATCTAGCTTAAGTGTAAACAAACATTGCAACTGACTGTATTCGGATATGCAATGTACATTAGATGTCACTGTAATCAACACCCTGTACTTTCATATTTCTATAAAATGTATTCACCTTAGGTCGCGCAACACTATTTAAACATAGGAGTTGTATTGGTCTTTTTACTCATAAAAAACGCCATTCACTGACGTTAGATATAATGATCTGATTGAGTTTCAATAAAACTATTATACCATGAACTTGAGTTTTCAAATACAATTATTTGTTTAAGAATTCTTGTCAATAGCAAGGTTAATTTAATGTAATTTAGAGTAAATTATGTCTCTGTGGAAAACAGTATGGAATTTTAAGCCATATATTTTTATTTGTTTGACTCATTCAACGCATACAGAATTAGTTATAGCCTACTTCATAGTAGCTCAATTATTGTAATTGTTCCCTGGGAAAACAGAATACGTGCATCGACAATCAAAGTACGCCGACCCAATACGAAGTAGTAGTAGGATTTTCTGCCAGATTTTATATAGTCTGTTCGCTAATTACGTCGTAAATTTTCGTACAACACAAGAAAAACGTGTTGTTGATGGGAGATGGCAGTTTTAAGCAGTATATCAAAATATTTATTATCAATCATAGACCTAACCTTAGTTATATAATCCTTATCTCTGAGATATAAATGTGGATTGTACCTAGGTTCGGGGTAATTATTTTCCTCCTTCTTTACACATAGATCATACATCAGTAGATTTTAGTAGCGGAAAATTGCTTATAATTGTCCCCAGTTCTCAATAACCAGGTAGGAGCATTCCTGTGGTGCGCCATTTACTGAAAATGAATGAGTTCCCGGGTCACCTGTAACAGACTTGTCCTCTTCATCCTAGAGTTAAAACAGGCTTGTTCCTCGCTACAACTTATCATACTGCCATTGTCTTTAATTTGTACAGAACATTGAAGCAGTATTTTAAAAACAATAAATCAACTAATTATCTAATTTGTCCAAAAACGACACAAATGGGGAAAAGATTAGTATGTCAACGCCACCAGGCATAACAGAATAAAGTGTAGATACGAATGCACCCGTATCAGGCTATTCCCATCACCCAGCTGTCGCCCCGCCGGTAATGACTGAGATTGGGAGGCGAGACATGAGACAGTCAGGCGATTTTATTGACTGATCACGGAAATAATGAGCAGAACAATAAAACACTCACGGACGTAAGAAATTTCTACAAGCATTATAATGTGTAACTTGTCGTCTGCTAGACGGCCATGACAGGTCACATATGGCTCCTATCCCACGTACACCCCCGTAACTAAAGATATACACTCATGAGACCTGCGAATGAAGAAAAGATGCATATATTTGAACCCATCTTTCAGTAATATACTGATTGAAAAGTGAGACACCCACTGTGTCTTGTGTCTTTCAAAGCGATGTATCCAGATTATCAATCGAGGAAAGGGTGGTTGGGGGTCGCTTTCCTTTCTGTATTTGTTGTGTTTGAACATTTATGTACGTCGGTATATGTTTGCATATTATTTGTACTACATTTATGAACATTAGTTTGAAACTTTTTCCTGACGATATACATGCATCCGTCAATCTGTCAACTATAAGCTAGTGTTTTGCATAAACACTACAAGTCTGCGAGCGAGTGAAGACAACTATATAAAACATATGTGTGTGTATAAATATATAATAAAAAAATGTAGAAAATCAAAACAGTAACATGATAAATAAAATCGTATGAAATCGCACATTATTTAACAAAATATCATCATCAGTATCGTTTTTCGCCTACAGGTAGGATTCGACCAAACTGAGTTTTTTTCCGATTCCTCGACCGAAAATGCCTACCACATAACATCCCCGGGGCAAAGGCGTTAAAAGATACCATCACTAATGCATAATAATTATACCAAACGATACTAGTTCTCACCATTACGATGACGTCACAAATGAGACGTGTCAGATTAATGTCTCAATGTGCTGAAAGTGTATACATTACTACAGACTGTATCTTCCTCCTGTATTTCATTAATGAATAAAATATTGTTTAAACAAAATGTAACAGTTTTGGTTATTTCAGACTGAAGGCTTCGAACATCACAATGAATATTATGTGTAGAGTCTAACATTTGGGTACGAGTACCATAACTTTTATTTATTTAAGTCAACGTTTTTTTTTTTCTCAGAAGATTTTGGAAAATTAATTCACGCTTGTCAATAAATTTTGAGAAATGTTGTTCCTGTTGCTGATGGTGATGATTTTGACGATATATCCATGAAAGGGAGAAGTCGGTGTAAACCTATTACAAGGACGAGCTATCGTGACCGAGTTGTAGAAGTACTCCATCCGTTTCAAGAGGGACAACTATTACAAAAGCATGGCTCTACTAGACAGAACGATTTGTCTCCCCTGTTTCCGATTTCGAGGTGTTTCGATTCATGTTCTAAGGGAGAGAACTTACCCCGCCCACTTGTTATTTAAAATGTGATCAGTTTGGATTAAATAAAAAGTAGACAAGAAAAATATAATAAGCTATAATTCTGCTTAAAAATAATAAATAAATAACGTATGTATATATAAACCTGGTAAGTTGAAACTGAAATTTTGTTTGTTTATGTCACATTAAAATACATAGCGAGTGGCAGATTACCGGCAGTGACTGGCTATCAATACACAGACATATAATGCAATAAAAACCAACATAACGTGTCGCTTATCCTTTCAAATGCATAGACTTTATCTATAATCTCAATTTTTACCCTTCCTTTGAAAATGCATTTGAAATAAATATTTATCTGATATTTGTGTAATTGAGACAGGACTAATAGATGAGTCACATGATCACCGTCACACGGCAAGACACTATCTCAATAACACATTACGTCGTAGAAAATTATTATAACACGTTTTTATTTCACAATTTCACCACAAGTCGGATAGATTTTCAATTCGTTGACGCATTTCAAGTTTTATTTATCATGAAGCTATGAATACCATTCTTATGTTTTGCGTAAAGAGTTCTTTCAATTATAAAACAGCTAAAAGAGGAAAGAGTGATGATAAAGTCATCGGTTTCTATGCCGATGAAATGTGTTTACAGCTGAAACAAAGGAAAATTCTTAAATGACGTTATGAACCGTTAACAGGTGAAGTGTTTTGACGTCACAACTTTCATTTCGGTTATTTACACTCCGAGTTGCTCTGTGATTGGTCACTTAAAAAAAAAAAAAAAAAAACAATCAGAAAAATCAAAAACAAAAACAAGAAAAGAATACTTATCACACCGGTTGTTGAGAAGCAATGCTGTCTTAATGTACTGCTATACAGGTCTACATTGTAGCCTTGTGCTTGTCCAGGCAGCCTGTGACTTTTCTCACTTTCCTGCTTGTCCAGGCAGCCTGTGACTTTTCTCACTTTCCTTCTGGACATTTTACATATCTTTAGCATCACGTATATGAATCTCAACAAAGTATGTTACGGTTTGATTTATTATCAAAGATACGCGGTATAATTATCTATAACTAAATTTGTCTCGGTTCATTAGACATGTTACAGGTTTATGCGGCCTAGAATTGTTCTCTATATCAACAGAAACCTCGTTAACATTGACTCGATAGCATGCATGCTATAGATACCTGTATGTGAACGAAAAACAAACGGGGAGATTATTTAAAACTGAGGGTTTGCGGTAGACTTTCGTGAATTAAAAGTTAGTTAAGTTTGACTTTCAATATTTTATTAAAGTAAGTTAAATTTTACTAAAAAATGACCATTATGATCAACCAGTCTGTAAACAAAACTAGGGACCAACACTGAAACATCTTCACATTTCTGAAGTAGTTTCATTGATTACATATATGTATCACGTTGGCGCGTTCGCTCCAGTCAAAGACAACTTGAAGTTTGCCTTTCTTAGCTTTGCCGCTGCTGCCTCTTTTTCCAATTTAAGAATTTCCATTCTCATTTCATGTTCCATCTTTAAATATTCCATTTTCTTTTCATGTTCAGTCCTTGCATACTCCAGTAACATGTTGTCCATAGATAATCTCGAAACGTTTTGCTGTTCTAAATAGTCATTTTTCTGAAAGTTACTTTTCAATTTCCGGAAAGTTCCCCAGTGTTCGGATGACTGTTCCGGATCATAGGAAGATTTATTTACTTCCGGTATTGATGCACTTGCATTTGACGCTATTTCAGTTGAAAACCTTATTTGGGCAACATCATCAGTTGCAAGAGTAAAGGCGGAAGTTGGTGTGTGAGCATGCTCAATAGTGGGTTCGCTGTTACCATGACGTTCCAAACAAACTTCTTCAAGACTGAAATATAAAACAGAACATCAATATCAACAGTAACTGCTTTGATAACACCAATTAATTGTTTTTCATTCCAACTGACCAATTTGATACAACCGCCATGTTTCCTACCCGTAGCGAGTTATGTTTCCCGGAAAACTGACAAACGGACCCGTTGTTTTCTTTGGCAAGTAAGTATAGTCCAGTTACTATAATAAACATAAATGACTACGGTGCGGTATGACCCCAGACCAAAAACAAAACCTTTATCGTCCTTGATTTGCGAAACTCAATTGCAGGTGATGACCAACAACGGCAATTATTCACAGTTTCCCTGCAGTTGGAAATTTAACGACATTGGAGACAAAGCCGTAACCTTGATATGATGAATAATAAATCTCCACAACTTCGAAATTCAATATAATTGAGAATTCATTTTTTTCTTATGAATAACAGGGGTTATACAGTTCAGCTACAGCTAATACATTAAGAGATATACGTAATTGAAGTTATTAAAAGTACTGTAGGAAGGCCCAAGGCAGAGATAAATGTCATGATATCACATTATTAATTAGTCCAAATTATTCTAATGTTCTATCGACTTATTTTTTATATCGGTCTGGAGTCGATGAACATCAAAACTTTGGCTCTTTATAAAGTCAGGGCAATAGGCGACCCGCACCTATAGGTAGGTATTCAAAGTTTAATTGTGGAAACACATCATCAATTTCACATGCATATCAAACACGGATCAAAAAATCTGTTCTTTAACTACCTTATTTTTAAAAAGAATATGTATCATAAAACCAATACAGTCATTAAACGTACGATTTCCCATCCGCATGGTTTTAATTAATGTTTGTGTCAGTCGAGACATGTCGTAGGGTGTTCCTATTCGCTAGGTAATTACATTAATGTAGGGTGACCCTAGCAGAGAGGTATACAGTATGATGTGTCCTTAGTAGAGAGGTATACAGTATGATGTCTCCCTAGCAGAGAGGTATACAGTAGAGAGGTATACAGTATGATGTCTTCCTAGTAGAGAGGTATACAGTATGATGTATCCCTAGTAGAGAGGTATACAGTATGATGTCTCCCTAGTAGAGAGGTATACAGTATGATGTCTCCCTAGTAGAGAGGTATACAGTATGATGTCTCCCTAGTAGAGATATACCGTATGATGTCTCCCTAGTAGAGAGGTATACAGTATGATGTCTCCCTAGTAGAGAGGTATACAGTATGATGTCTCCCTAGTAGAGAGGTATACAGTATGATGTCTCCCTAGTAGAGAGGTATACAGTATGATGTATCCCTAGTAGAGACGTATACAGTATGATGTTTCCCTAGTAGAGATATACCGTATGATGTCTCCCTAGTAGAGAGGTATACAGTATGATGTCTCCCTAGTAGAGAGGTATACAGTATGATGTATCCCTAGTAGAGAGGTATACAGTATGATGTCTCCCTAGTAGAGAGGTATACAGTATGATGTGTCCTTAGTAGAGAGGTATACAGTATGACGTCTCCCTAGTAGAGAGGTATACAGTATGATGTCTCCTTAGTAGAGAGGTATACAGTATGATGTCTTCCTAGTAGAGAGGTATACAGTATGATGTCTCCCTAGTAGAGATATACAGTATGATGTCACCCTAGTAAATATACAGTATGATGTCTCCCTAGTAGAGAGGTATACAGTATGATATCTCCCTAGTAGAGAGGTATACAGTATGATGTCTCCCTAGTAGAGAGATAAACAGAATGATGTGTCCCTAGTAGAGAGGTATACAGTATGATGTCTCCCTAGTAGAAATATACAGTATGATGTCTCCCTAGTAGAGAGGTATACAATATGATTTCTCCCTAGTAGAGAGGTATACAGTATGATGTCACCCTAGTAGAAATATACAGTATGATGTCTACCTAGTAGAGAGGTATACAGTATATCTCCCTAGTAGAGAGGTATACAGTATGATATCTCCCTAGTAGAGAGGTATACAGTATGATGTCTCCCTAGTAGAGAGGTATACAGTATGATGTCACCCTAGTAGATATACAGTATGATGTCACCCTAGTAGATATACAGTATGATGTCACCCTAGTAGAGAGGTATACAGTATGATGTCTCCCTAGTAGAGAGGTATACAGAATGTTTTCATAGTAGAGATTTACAGTATGATTTCTCCTTAGTAGATATACAGTATGATGTCACCCTAGTAGATATACAGTATGATGTCTCCCTAGTAGAGAGGTATACAGTATGATGTCTCCCTAGTAGAGAGGTATACAGAACGTCTTCATAGTAGAGATTTACAGTATGATTTCTCCTTAGCAGATATACAGTATGATGTCACCCTAGTAGATATACAGTATGATGTCACCCTAATAGAGAGGTATACAGTATGATGTCACCATAGTTGATATACAGTATGATGTCTCCCTAGTAGATATACAGTATGATGTCTCCCTAGTAGATATACAGTATGATGTCACCCTAGTAGATATACAGTATGATGTCACCCTAGTAGATATACAGCATGATGTCTCCCTAGTAGATATACAGTATAATGTCTCCCTAGTAGATATACAGTATGATGTCACCCTAGTAGATATACAGTATGATGTCACCCTAGTAGAGAGGTATACAGTATGTCTTCATAGTAGAGATTTACAGTATGATTTCTCCTTAGTAGATATACAGTATGATGTCACCCTAGTAGATATACAGTATGATGTCTCCCTAGTAGAGAGGTATACAGTATGATGTCTCCCTAGTAGAGAGGTATACAGAACGTATTCATAGTCTTTACCCTATGATTTCTCAGAGAGATATACAGTATGATGTCACCCTAGTAGATATACAGTATGATGTCACCCTAATAGAGAGGTATACAGTATGATGTCACCATAGTAGATATACAGTATGATGTCTCCCTAGTAGATATACAGTATGATGTCTCCCTAGTAGATATACAGTATGATGTCACCCTAGTAGATATATAGTATGATGTCACCCTAGTAGAGATACAGTATGATGTCTCCCTAGTAGATATACAGTATGATGTCACTAGTAGATATACAGTATGATGTCACCCTAGTAGAGAGGTATACAGTATGATGTCTCTCTAGTAGATATACAGTATGATGTCTCCCTAGTAGATATACAGTATAATGTCACCCTAGTAGAGAGGTATACAGTATGATGTCTCCCTAGTAGAGAGGTATACAGTAAGATATCTCCCTAGTAGAGAGGTATACAGTATGATGTCACCATAGTTGATATACAGTATGATGTCTCCCTAGTAGATATACAGTATGATGTCACCCTAGTAGATATACAGTATGATGTCACCCTAGTAGATATACAGCATGATGTCTCCCTAGTAGATATACAGTATAATGTCTCCCTAGTAGATATACAGTATGATGTCACCCTAGTAGATATACAGTATGATGTCACCCTAGTAGAGAGGTATACAGTATGTCTTCATAGTAGAGATTTACAGTATGATTTCTCCTTAGTAGATATACAGTATGATGTCACCCTAGTAGATATACAGTATGATGTCTCCCTAGTAGAGAGGTATACAGTATGATGTCTCCCTAGTAGAGAGGTATACAGAACGTCTTCATAGTAGAGATTTACAGTATGATTTCTCATTAGTAGATATACAGTATGATGTCACCCTAGTAGATATACAGTATGATGTCACCCTAATAGAGAGGTATACAGTATGATGTCACCTAGTAGAGATATACAGTATGACAGTATGATGTCTCCCTAGTAGATATACAGTATGATGTCACCCTAGTAGATATACAGTATGATGTCACCCTAGTAGATATACAGCATGATGTCCCCCTAGTAGATATACAGTATGATGTCTCCCTAGTAGATATACAGTATGATGTCACCCTAGTAGATATACAGTATGATGTCACCCTAGTAGAGAGGTATACAGTATGATGTCTCTCTAGTAGATATACAGTATGATGTCTCCCTAGTAGATATACAGTATGATGTCACCCTAGTAGAGAGGTATACAGTATGATGTCTCCCTAGTAGAGAGGTATACCATAAGATATCTCCCTAGTAGAGAGGTATACAGTATGATGTCTCCCTAGTAGAGAGGTATACAGTATGATGTCTCCCTAGTAGAGAGGTATACAGTATGATTTCTCTCTAGTAGATATACAGTATGATGTCTCCCTAGTATATACAGTATGATGTCTCCCTAGTAGAGAGGTATACAGTATGATGACACCCTAGTAGATATAAAGAATGATGTAACCCTAAAAGAGAGGTATACAGTATGATGTCTCCCTAGTAGAGAGGTATACAGTATGATGTATCCCTAGTAAAGACGTATACAGTATGATGTCTCCCTAGTAGAGATATACCGTATGATGTCTCCCTAGTAGAGAGATATACAGTATGATGTATCCCTAGTAAAGACGTATACAGTATGATGTCTCCCTAGTAGAAATATACAGTATGATGTCTCCCTAGTAGAGAGGTATACAATATGATTTCTGCGTAGTAGAGAGGTATACAGTATGATGTCTTCCTAGTAGAAATATACAGTATGATGTCTACCTAGTAGAGAGGTATACAGTATGATATCTCCCTAGTAGAGAGGTATACAGTATGATTTCTCCCTAGTAGAGAGGTATACAAGATGATTTCTCCGTAGTAGAGAGGTATACAGTATGATGTCTCCCTAGTAGAAATATACAATATGATGTCTACCTAGTAGATATACAGTATGATGTCTCCCTAGTAGATATACAGTATGTTGTCACCCTAGTAGATATACAGTATGATGTCTCCCTAGTAGATATACAGTATGATGTCTCCCTAGTAGATATACAGTATGATGTCACCCTAGTAGATATACAGTATGATGTCACCCTAGTAGAGAGGTATACAGTATGATGTCTCCCTAGTAGATATACAGTATGATGTCTCCCTAGTAGATATACAGTATGATGTCACCCTAGTAGAGAGGTATACAGTATGATGTCTCCCTAGTAGAGAGGTATACAGTAAGATGTCTCCCTAGTAGAGAGGTATACAGTATGATGTCTCCCTAGTAGAGAGGTATACAGAATGTCTTCATAGTAGAGAGATAAACAGTATGAATTCTCCTTAGTAGATATACAGTATGATGTCACCCTAGTAAATATACAGTATGATGTCTCCCTAGTAGAGAGGTATACAAGATGATTTCTCCGTAGTAGAGAGGTATACAGTATGATGTCTCCCTAGTAGAAATATACAATATGATGTCTACCTAGTAGAGAGGTATACAGTATGATATCTCCCTAGTAGAGAGGTATACAGTATGATTTCTCCCTAGTAGAAATATACAGTATGATATCTCCCTAGTAGAGAGGTATACAGTATGATTTCTCCGTAGTAGAAATATACAGTATGATGTCTACCTAGTAGAGAGGTATACAGTATGATGTCTCCCTAGTAGAGAGGTATACAGAATGTCTTCATAGTAGAGATTTACAGTATGATTTCTCCTTAGTAGATATACAGTATGATGTCACCCTAGTAGATATACAGTATGATGTCTCCCTAGTAGAGAGGTATACAGTAAGATATCTCCCTAGTAGAGAGGTATACAGTATGATGTCTCCCTAGTAGAGAGGTATACAGAATGTCTTCATAGTAGAGATTTACAGTATGATTTCTCCTTAGTAGATATACAGTATGATGTCACCCTAGTAGAGATACAGTATGATGTCACCCTAGTAGATATACAGTATGATGTCTCCCTAGTAGATATAAAGTATGATGTCACCCTAGTAGATATACAGTATGATGTCACCCTAGTAGAGAGGTATACAGTATGATGTCTCCCTAGCAGAAATATACAGTATGATGTCACCCTAGTAGATATACAGTATGATGTCACCCTAGTAGAGAGGTATACAGTATGATGTCTCCCTAGTAGAGAGGTATACAGTATGATGTCTCCCTAGTAGAGAGGTATACAGTATGATGTCTCCCTAGTAGAGAGGTATACAGAATGTCTTCATAGTAGAGATTTACAGTATGATTTCTCCTTAGTAGATATACAGTATGATGTCACCCTAGTAGAGATACAGTATGATGTCACCCTAGTAGATATACAGTATGATGTCTCCCTAGTAGATATACAGTATGATGTCACCCTAGTAGATATACAGTATGATGTCACCCTAGTAGAGAGGTATACAGTATGATGTCTCCCTAGTAGATATACAGTATGATGTCACCCTAGTAGATATACAGTATGATGTCACCCTAGTAGAGAGGTATACAGCATGATGTCTCCCTAGTAGAGAGGTATACAGTAAGATATCTCCCTAGTAGAGAGGTATACAGTATGATATCTCCCTAGTAGAGAGGTATACAGAATGTCTTCATAGTAGAGAGGTATACAGTATGATTTCTCCTTAGTAGATATACAGTATGATGTCACCCTAGTAAATATACAGTATGATGTCACCCTAGTAGATATACAGTATGATGTCACCCTCTTTGTAATTAGATTGATAGTACATTAACTAGACTAGAAAATCATAAATTGTGGACCACCTACTTGTTAAAATCAACAACAGTTGTAGCTAATTCAGGGGGAGTGTCCTGTTTTCTTGTTTGACTGCAATCGTCATCATATTCCGTTACTTCTTCGTCGTCATCAATTTCAATTTTAATCACTGTCGACTCCGTGTCCGGGACAGAAAATCCGGCTCCCGATGATATCTCTCCCGAGGCAATATCTGAAAATCTCATGACATCGTCTATAACAGCGTCCGTTTCCCCTGCGGACAATTCAGTTTGTTGAACTGGATTAAAACTGAAATTGGAATTAGCTACTTCATTTAATATCTTTTTAACCTGAGCAATAATTTCGGCGGATTCCCCGTAATATTTAGTGGGTGCAACTTCCTGTGTATTTCTTCCGTTTCCGGTAGATGAGTCCAAAGTCTCCTGTTCTCTATCTCGCTGCTCCGCACGTGTGGCGAGCTTCATTCGTTTCCATTGTTCTTTAATTCTAACAAGTGTTCGTTTCCGCCCGAATTTGGCGGAGAATTGGTCATAAATGATTCTCCAGCACGCCGCCTTCATCCTTAAGGTATTGCTATCCGATTTTTTCTCCTCAATGATTCTGGCTTTAGCAGCACAAAGATGTAAGAGAAAAATCTACAACAAATTGGAAATAATTATGTAAAGTAATACAATTGTCTAAACGCGACACTTGTAATGTTCTAAAAAATAAATTAAGACTGATTATGAAAACAATACTGTAAAATTTACATAATCGATCGACCACAGGGTATCGCAATGAATTCTGGGAGATATTTTCACATTCAATAGCTGTATTGTGATTTCGTTAGGCAAAAACGAGTGAAAATATCTTACTTCGAAAATTTGTTCAGTGATATTTGCACCGTAAATGGAACATAGTTGTCATATTTAAATCCTTATACTGAGTGTAAATGACAAGAAATGCAGAGAATACTCGTGATAATTGATATAAACAATATCCCAGTCGAGATGCTGCAGTATCTATTACCATATACATGTATATCAGTATTGGAAATATTTTTGTTTTGATAAACTGAAGTACACTTTCAACTTATTTACGGAAAGCTGAACAGTCACTTTGTTGAATCAAAGACATGAAGTAAGATTACAGCAATATTATTCAAATTACTATCATCCAGTTGGTAGGATATATTCATATTGTTTAACCTGCGTATTAAAATGCGCGCATGTCATCTTAGTTCCCAACTATCTTTTCGAAATGTTGGACATACACAATGCACAAACCATCAATTAAAAACCAGATCAACCTTTTCAGCGTGTGTCCAGTTGATCCCTCTAGACTTTCGCATCTGATACACCAGTCCATGTTGAATAGTGGAGTGCCCTCTAGCTTGTCCATGGTTTCCTATCTCCCGTGTTGTATCTGTATACATTGTGATTACCAGCCGTTAGATTTCTGGCAGCAGACGATTTCACGGTGGTCTAACACATGACCTGATTTCAACGTAAGTCTTCCTTTACACCAAAAACGATAATTGTTCAGCTACAGGCCTCCGTACATTGGTGACGTAATAAATGTTAAACTGTAAACATTCGCACTTTGGTGACATTGATCACTGTTCAACTACGGACCTCCGTACACAGGTCACGTGATCATTGTTCAACTACAGACCTCCGTACACTAGTCACGTGATCACTGTTCAACTACAGACCTCGTACACTGGTCACGTGATCACCGTTCAAATACAGACCTCAGTACACTGGTCACGTGATTACTGTTTAACTTCGTACAGACCTCCGTACATTGGTCATGTGATTAGTGTTTAACTTTGTACAGACCTCCGTACACTGGTCACGTGATAACTGTTTAACTTCGTACAGACCTCCGTACATTGGTGACGTAACCAGTGTCAACTAGGGGTCATTCTCCGTGTATTTATCTCAATGTCTGCTTTTACAGGTCTCCGACATGTAATACAAGATGTCCACGAATGATATTAACAGTTATCATCACAAAGAGAACATTTATCAAAATCGTATCCACGGCTATCCAGTGTATGCGCCAGAGGTTATGTCGAAGTTCTAATTTAGAACACTCGGTTACAGGAGGAAGCCATATGCGTGGACAATGTCGTCTGTTCTAGGCGAGCTGCGTCCTAGAGTGTGTACACATCACGTTTAAACCAGACCGAAGGTTTATCTCTTGGTCGGAAGTCTAAAAATAGCCTTCTACACACACAGCCGAGCTTAACTAAACCAACAACAACGGAGAGAGTTCAGCGGTAAATCGATCGTAAATACATATACATGCATACACCATGACAGGTAACAAGTGGGGCCACCAAAGGGGAAATTGTTGATAAACAAAGTCGATATTGTACAACCTACAATGTAAAACCTACATTTAATATAGCTGTTGATATTGACCCGAGCCCGTGATCCATGGCTTGTCTTATAAAACTCTTATTATCACTATTCACTGCGAAGTACTCTATTAATCTTTCTCGGATTTCATATGTAGGTTGCCCTATTCTCTAGCGGTACTCGTTCTGATTAAGTTTGACCAAGAATGGCCGATCATCTCTTATCTTGGTTTAGGACAATTAAAATTCATTCATTAATTAATGGGTGTTTAGTTGTGATAGAGATCTTTATTTACAGGTTCCTTTGGTGTTTAGTTGTGATAGAGATCTTTATTTACAGGTTCTCCTTGATGTTTAGTTGTGCTATAGATCTTTATTTACAGGTTCTCCTTGGTGTTTAGTTGTGTTATAGATCTTTATTTACAGGTTCTCCTTGGTGTTTAGTTGTGTTATAGATCTTTATTTACAGGTTCTCCTTGGTGTTTAGTTGTGTTATAGATCTTTATTTACAGGTTCCCTTTGGTGTTTAGTTGTGTTATAGATCTATTTACAGGTTCCCTTTGGTGTTTAGTTGTGTTATAGATTGATTTACAGGTTCCCCTTGGTGTTTAGTTGTGTTATAGATCTTTATTTACAGGTTCTCCTTGGTGTTTAGTTGTGCTATAGATATAGATCTTTATTTATAGGTTCTCCATGATGTTTAGTTGTATTATAGATGTAGGTCTTTATTTACAGGTTCCCCTTGGTGTTTAGTTGTGTTATAGATCTTTATTTACAGGTTCCCCTTTTTGTTTAGTTGTGCTATAGATATAGATCTTTATTTATAGGTTCTCCATGATGTTTAGTTGTATTATAGATGTAGGTCTTTATTTACAGGTTCTCCTTGGTGTTTAATTGTGTTATAGATCTTTATTTACAGGTTCTCCTTTTTATTTAGTTGTGCTATAGATCTTTATTTAGAGGTTCCCCTTGGTGTTTAGTTGTGCTATAGATCTTTATTTACAGGTTCCACTTGGTGTTTAGTTTTGCTATAGATATAGATCTTTATGTACAGGTTCTCCTTGGTGTTTAGTTATGTTATAGATCTTTATTTACAGGTTCTCCTTGGTGTTTAGTTGTGTTATAGATCTTTATTTACAGGTTCCCTTTGGTGTTTAGTTGTGTTATAGATCTTTATTTACAGGTTCCCTTTGGTGTTTAGTTGTGCTGTAGATCTTTACTTACAGGTTCTCCTTAGTGTTTAGTTGTGCTATAGATCTTTATTTACAGGTTCTCCTTGGTGTTTACTTGTGGTATAGATATAGATCTTTATTTACAGGTTCTCCTTGATGTTTAGTTGTGCTATAGATTTATTTACAGGTTCCCCTTGGTGTTTAGTTGTGCTATAGATCTTTATTTACAGGTTCCCCTTGGTGTTTAGTTGTGCTATAGATCTTTATTTACAGGTTCTTCTTTTTGTTTAGTTGTGCTATAGATCTTTATTTACAGGTTCTCCTTGTTGTTTAGTTGTGCTATAGATCTTTATTTACAGGTTCTCCTTGGTGTTTAGTTGTGATATAAATATTTATTTACAGGTTCTCCTTGGTGTTTAGTTTTGCAACAGATCTTTATTTACAGGTTCTCCTTGGTGTTTAGTTGTGCTATAGATATAGATCTTTATTTACAGGTTCCCATTGGTGTTTAGTTGTGCTATAGATCTTCATTTACAATTTCTCCTTGGTGTTTAGTTGTGCTATAGATATAGATCTTTATTTTCATGTTCGCCTTGTTGTTTAGTTGTGCTATAGATATAGATCTTTATTTACAGGTTCCCCGTGGTGTTTAATTGTGCTATAGATCTTCATTTACAGGTTCCCCTTGGTGTTTAGTTGTGTTATAGATCTTTATTTACAAATTCTCCTTGGTGTTTAGTTGTGATAAAGATCTTTATTGACAGGTTCTCCTTGGTGTTTAGTTTTGCTAGAGAGTTTTATTTACAGGTTCTCCTTGGTGTTTAGTTGTGCTATAGATCTTTATAAACAGGTTATCCTAGGTGTTTAATTTTGCTATGGATCTTTATTTACAGGTTCTCCTTGGTGTTTAGTTGTGCTATAGATCTTTATTTACAGGTTCTCCTTGGTGTTTAGTTGTGCTATAGATCTTTATTTAGAGGTTCCCCTTGGTGTTTAGTTGTGATAAAGATCTTCATTGACAGGTTCTCCTTGGTGTTTAGCTGTGCTATATATATATATATATCTTTATTTACAGGTTCTCCTTGGTGTTTAGTTGTGCTATAGATGTAGGTCTTTATTTACAGGTTCCCTCTGGTGTTTAGTTGTGCTATAGATATAGATCTTTATTTACAGGTTCTCCATAATGTTTAGTTGTGCTATGGATATTTATTTACAGGTTCCCCTTGTTGTTTAGTTGTGTTATAAATCTTTATTTACAGGTTCTCCTTGGTGTTAAGATGTGCTATAGACTTATTTACAGGTTCTCCTTGGTGTTTTGGTTTGCTATAGATCTTTATTTACAGGTTCTGCTTGGTGTTTAGTTGTGCTATAGATCTTTATTGACAGATTCTCCTTGGTGTTTAGTTGTGCTATAGATCTTTATTTACAGGTTCTCCTTGGTGTTTATTTGTGCTATAGATCTTTATTTACAGGTCCCCCTTTTTGTTTAGTTGTGCTATAGATCTTTATTTACAGGTTCCCCTTGTTGTTTAGTTGTGCTATAGATCTTTATTTACAGGTTCCCCTTGGTGTTTAGTTGTGCTATAGATCTTTATTTACAGGTTCCCCTTGTTGTTTAGTTGTGATATAGATATTTATTTACAGGTTCCCCTTGGTGTTTAGTTGTGTTATAGATCTTTATTTACAGATTCTCCTTGGTGTTTAGTTGTGTTATAGATCTTTATTTACAGGTCCCCTTGGTGTTTAGTTGTGCTATAGATATAGATCTTTATTTACAGGTTCTCCTTGGTGTTTAGTTGTGCTATAGATATAGATCTTTATTTACAGGTTCTCCTTGGTGTTTAGTTGTGTTATAGATCTTTATTTACAGATTCTCCTTGGTGTTTAGTTGTGATAAAGATCTTTATTTACAGGTCCCCTTGGTGTTTAGTTGTGCTATAGATCTTTATTTACAGATTCTCCTTGGTGTTTAGTTGTGATAAAGATCTTTATTGACAGGTTCTCCTTGGTGTTTAGTTTTGCTATATATTTTTATTTACAGGTTCTCCTTGGTGTTTAGTTGTGCTATAGATCTTTATTAACAGGTTATCCTAGGTGTTTAATTTTGCTATGGATCTTTATTTACAGGTTCTCCTTGGTGTTTAGTTGTGCTATAGATGTAGGTCTTTATTTACAGGTTCCCTCTGGTGTTTAGTTGTGCTATAGATATAGATCTTTATTTACAGGTTCTCCATAATGTTTAGTTGTGCTATGGATATTTATTTACATGTTCTCCTTGGTGTTTAGTTGTGCTATAGATCTTTATTAACAGGTTCCCCTTGTTGTTTAGTTATGCTATAGATCTTTATTTACAGGTTCTCCTTAGTGTTTAGTTGTGCTATAGATCTTTATTTACAGGTTCTCCTTGGTGTTTAGTTGTGCTATAGATATAGATCTTTATTTACAGGTTCTTCTTTTTGTTTAGTTGTGCTATAGATCTTTATTTACAGGTTCCCCTTGTTGTTTAGTTGTGCTATAGATCTTTATTTACAGGTCTTCCCTGGTGTTTAGTTGTGATATAGATCTTTATTTACAGGTTACTCTTGGTGTTTAGTTGTGATAGAGATCTTTATTTACAGGTTCTCCTTGGTGTTTAGTTGTGCTATAGATGTTTATTTATAGGTTCTCCTTGGTGTTTAGTTGTGCTATAGATCTTTATTTATAGGTTCTCCTTGGTGTTTAGTTGTGCTATAGATCTTTATTTACAGGTTCCCGTTGGTATTAAGTTGTGCTATAGATTTATTTACAGGTCCTCCTTGGTGATTTGTTTTGCTATATATCTTTATTTACAGGTTTTCCTTGGTGTTTAGTTGTGCAATAAATCTTTATTTACAGGTTCTCCATGATGTTTAGTTGTGACATAGATTTTTATTCACAGGTTCCCCTTGGTGTTTAGTTGTGCTATAGATATAGATCTTTATTTACAGGTTCTCCTTAGTGTTTAGTTGTGCTATAGATCTTTATTTACAGGTTCCCCTTGGTGTTTAATTGTGCTATAGATATTTATTTACAGGTTCCCCTTGGTGTTTAGTTGTGCTATAGATATAGATCTTTATTTACAGGTTCTCCATGATGTTTAGTTGTGATATAGATCTTTATTTACAGGTTCTCCTTGGTGTTTAGTTGTGTTATAGATCGTTATTTACAGGTTCCCCTTGGTGTTGAGTTGTGCTATAGATAGAGATCTTTATTTACAGGTTCTCCTTGGTGTTTAGTTGTGCTATAGATATAGATCTTTATTTACAGGTTCCCATTGGTGTTTTGTTGTGCTATAGATCTTCATTTACAGTTTCTCCTTGGTGTTCAGTTGTGCTATAGATATAGATCTTTATTTACAGGTTTCCCGTGGTGTTTAATTGTGCTATAGATCTTCATTTACAGGTTCCCCTTGGTGTTTAGTTGTGCTATAAATATAGATCTTTATTTACAAGGTCTCCATGATGTTTAGTTGTTCTATAGATCTTTATTTACAGGTTCTCCTTGGTGTTTAGTTATGCTATAGATTTTTTTTACAGGTTCTCTTTGGTGTTTAGTTGTGCTATAGATCTTTATTTATAGGT